GTACGTCGTACGTACGTACGTACGTACGTACGTACGTCGTACGTCGTAACGTCGTACGTACGTACGTCGTACGTCGTACGTACGTCGTACGTCGTAACGTACGTCGTACGTACGTACGTACGTACGTACGTTACGTACGTACGTACGTACGTACTACGTACGTACGTACGTACGTACGTACGTAACGTCGTAACGTACGTCACACACACACACACACACACACACACACACACACACACACACACACACACACACACACACACACACAAATCCAATAGCTCACATTGGCAGCGTTGCTCAGGCAACTGTATCCTATGGTCTGGGAGCTGTAGAAAGGAGATATTGAAATCAATCTTTATTTGTATAGCCCAATTTCACAAAACATGTGGGCTTTACAGATTAAAATAAATAACATTGTAAATGATGGAGTTACAGCTAAATGAAAATACAAGATAGTGTATGTAATACAAATAGAAATAGAAAATAAATTAAGATAACAAAAAAAGACATTAAAAAGACAAAACATTCAAATTATTCAAATTAAGTACCATCAAAATGAAATGAAATCATGTGGAACAGATCTAGATGATCAGAGAGCAGCAGCATGCAGACATACTGTACACGTTTCAGAAGCAAACGGCTCGTGGACAAAAGTTTTTTTTGTGTTTTTTGTTTTATTTCACAGATTGACCCCTTACAGTAACTACAGTTAATACGGGTGATTCATCTGGAAACCACAAATTAATCACAATACCAAGTGTGAGCCAAAGTTGCTCCCGCTCCACCAGCAAGGGATGTTTACCATGAAAGGCATGGGAGTTAAAAGACAAAGAAAATTAGGAATCAACACAAGATTATTACACTGTGTCGGATTTCATGCCAATAATTCAGAAATCATGTTGTAATAAAGTAAAAAACGCTCTGATTGATCTCACCAGTTAATTAGTCATCTCTTTATTACAACATCACGTCTATTTGTTTTAACTCCCCCCAAAAAACAAGGATTTTAAACTTGTGATGAATCGTGACTAATCAAGAGCCAACTTGATGGACTATGAGGGGGCAACACTACAGTTTAACATCTTCATTCACTCTCCTGTTCCCCCCCCGTCGCCCCCCCCGGGTGTAGATGGTACTCCAAAGATCCTGGCCTCGTTCAGCGAGAAGGTGGTGAACCCCAACGAGCCCGTCTTCCTGGTCTGCAACGTGAAGGGCACGCCTCCCCCCCGCTGCACCTGGTCTCTGGACGACGACCCCGTCATCAAGGACTCCCACCACCACCTGGGCCACTACGAGACCCACGAGGGCCACGTGGTCAGCCAGCTGAACGTCACGCACACCCAGGTGCAGGACGGGGGGGTGTACCGGTGCACGTGCAGCAACTCGGCCGGGCTCGTGTACCACCAGGCTCGAATAAACGTAAGAGGTGCTTGTCAAATCAGCTCCTCCAAGAACAACAATACACATACCTGTCTGTCTCTCTGTGTGTGTTTGTCTGTGTCCGTCTGTCCCGCTGCCTGTCTGGTGCTTTCAGGAAATGAGCGCTGGTTTTTGTCTGAAATTAAAAAGGGTGTTAGGAATTTAAAATACAAAAAGCGCGATTGTCACTCCTGTGATTCAGCGCAGGCAGTTGCGAGCTAGCTAACAAGCTAACAGGCTAATGACATTCGTTTTTGTGCGCCATACGGATAGGACCACAGTTTTAGTCAGAGCTACAAGAAAATCATCAGTCGTCTGTTTATATCATGTTGTGTACGCTTTTGTACAGATATTCTCACTTTAACTTCTTAAATCCATATTTTAAGGGTAACCAAATGTTATTACAGTCACCTAGAGGGGCATATGAATATCTCTACAATACAATAGTTGACCCGTGATGGGCAGAACGACACTGTCATGCTTAAAGCTGGGCAAATTAAAAAGCCCTTACGTTCTTGTTTTGAGTAGATTTGATCAAGTGTTAAATGTCTTAACTATTAGGTTCCTAATCACATTTACACTGATTGATTTTGCCTTAATCTTATTTTTTGGAATCGTCTTTTTCCCCTCCGAATGATCACTTCCTACATGCCTGTATTTTTAGGTCAAGTGAATTCCCCCGGCTTGCTGCACATATCTGGATATTGGGTTTCCAAAATGGGCTGGTTTCTAAATAGCCGGAAGAAAAAAAGATATGACTTTCTATTTGCATGAATGCATTTATCTGCGGGTGTGTGTGTGTTTCGTTCTGCGTGTGTTTACTCAAGCAGCCCATTCACGATCAGATGTTAAAGCGATTACTCTATTTCCATTTTATGAGGCGCAGAATGCAGATTACAGTGATGTGGGTAAACAGCAGGAGCAGCATTATAAGCATCAGCGGCGCAGTGTTATCTAAATGTTTTCCTGCAGACGGCGAGCACACTTTAATCACTTTACCGCCTTCTGCTCACAGTTAAGCCTAACATCTTGTGGTAAAACAAACAAGTTTATTTTGCGTGTATTAATATTTTAGTGGCAGGTTTAATACGTGAAGCTATAGAGAGAAATGTTCCGTTTCATGTTTTGTGTCTAGCAGTTGTTTAAATTCATTTTGTAAAGTCTTTTATTTACAAAAACACCAAAAATAAAGCCAACGTGATTCGATTCACCTTCCACCGAATGTCTTTATAGAGGATCTTTTCCCCTTCTCTGTCCCTCTTTTAGGCCGAGCCAACATCCGCCCGATGAAAAACATCACGGCGATCGCTGGACGAGACGCGTTCATTCACTGCCGTGTGATTGGCTACCCTTACTACTCTATAAAGTGGTACAAGAACTCTGCACTGCTGCCGTTCAACCACCGGCAGCGAGCGTTCGAGAACAACGGCACGCTGAAGCTGACCAACGTGCAGCAAGTGGACGCCGGCGAGTACAACTGCAAAGTGATGGTCCAACCCAACAAGATGGACTCCCAGAGCGTGCACCTGTGCGTCAGAGGTCGGTACCATGCAGCTAAATATGATCCACACCCCTGGGATCAGGTTCGGAGCGTAATCGATCAGAATAAACCTCACTACTCTAGTGATGTAACAAAAGTACCAAACAGCCACCCTTGCACCTAATGTCATACATACAATACTCTGTAAAGGTGTGGGTGTGAATTCATCCTGGCCCAATCAGAAAGTTAAACAAAGAGACTACACAGGCTAAACAAACAAGTCAGAGGGTTAACCACAGTTAGCAGATAATAGTAAGAAACTCTGACAAAGATTCAGCCTCTGGATTGACCATCATCCACGACCTATATTACATTACATTGCATTTAGCTGACGCTTGTATCCAAAGCGACTTACAATAAGTGCATTCGACCAAGAAGATACAACCTTGAAGAAAACAGAATCATATAAGTACATCAGGTTTCATAGAGCTAAAACATTTCAAGTGCTACTCAACTGGCTTTAGATAAGCCAGTCCTTTATTAGTATATAAGTGCTTTGTTAGTAGTTCTATTGCTCGAAGAGATGAGTTTTCAGTCTCCCCCGGAAGATGTGTAAGCTTTCTGCTGTCCTGATTTCAATGGGGAGCTCATTCCACCATTTTGGAGCCAGTATAGCAAACCCACGTGTTTTTGCTGATGGGAACTTGGGTCCCCCTCGCAGTGCGGGTGCAGCGAGCCGTTTGGCCGATGCATATAGGCTCCCTCTGAAGGTGTGTGTCAGGATTTAAGGGTCGGACCAATCGGGATCTTCTAAGCTTCAAGTGGGCGGGACAAGGCAGCACAATGGCAACTAAGGGGCAGCACAGCTAACAATCATACAGAAACTCACAGGACTGTTAGTGGAGGCTGCGGCTGTAACAGTAACTATGAGTGTTAAATTAATGTAAAAAGTACAATATTTGCCTCTGAAATGTGTAGAAGCATAAACTTGCATACAATGGAATCACTCAAGTGAAGTACAATTGTGTCGAAATAGTACTTAGTTACTTTCCAACACTGCTACTACATCAATCTACTGTTTTATCCACTCATCCAAACCCCTGATGACAGGAATAGCGCTTATCCAGAGTGTGTTTAGAGTCAAACTGTATGCATAATACAACAACACGGTAATACAATTAGATCTATGCAAACAGACTGCTCTACATTCAGAGGGAAATCTCCAGCCGACACACACACACACACACACACACACACACACACACACACACACACACACACACACACACACACACACAAGTCATCTGTGTGTGAGTGTCCAGTGAGTTCAACTAACAGTGAAATCAGAAGCACTTTAGCACCTTATTTAATTCACAACAAAGTGGAGATAATGGTCTCCGGGGAAACCCAAAGACACTTGCGCATTTTAAGCATGAGCAGAGTAAATTAACAAATGCACTCGCTCTCTATAGCACCGCTGGGAAGTGTTGCTTTATATCATGGCACTCTCTTCAGCTCTCCCCCTCTGTTCCCCTCCCTCCAGTGGAAAGTGTAATATAGCATACTGTACAGAGGGAGGGGAGGAGAGGGGAGGGGGCCCTAATGGGGAAGCCCTTTTTAAGTATTACCTTTTACAGATGTAAGATCAGTCACTGTGTAATATCACTGCTACAGCTTTCATTAACTGGGAATTAGCAGATTATTTTACTAGATCAACAGCTGCCCACCTTTGTGTGAGGGTCTTTTTATTTATATCTATTTACAATAACTAGTTACCTTTACAAAAATGTGATCTTATCTGAGTATCACAATATCAAGTAACCTGATTACTTTCTGTTAAAATCTGAGCTGACAGAAAATACTCAGTTTTAGTTTAATACACACAGTTAAGCTCAGACACACTTTTTTATAACATATAGGTTCAACTACTGAATTAAAAACAGAACAAATGAACCAAAGAAAGTGAAAACCATAAAGCAGATTCAGGCAGTAGGCGTATAGATTCACATTTAAAGTATTAACCTAAAGAACAGTACAGCTTACAGAGGACAAATCAAATCTAACCCTTTTACAACAAACACAATATGCCCTTTTGAGTTTTTTACTAACATTGGAATCTGCAGGTGATCCCCCGTTTTTAGAAATGTAGCAGTAAACTGATTACATCTTTTGAACATAACTGTAAGGGAATACAGGTACCTTTTTTGTATCCTGGTTACATCATCCCGTTACTCTTTTAAACCTGCTCACGACTTTGATCTCTGTGTCTCCTCCTCTCTGTCAGTCCCTCCCTACATCCAGCCCTTTGAGTTCCAGCGCTTCACCATCGGGCAGCGCGTCTTCATCCCCTGCGTGGTCATGTCGGGCGACCGCCCTCTGGACATCACCTGGCAGAAGGACGGGCGTCCCATCCCCATCAGCCTGGGCGTAACCGTGGACAACATCGACTTCACCAGCTCGCTGCGCATCTCCAACCTGACGCCCGACCACAACGGCAACTACACCTGCGTCGCCCGCAACGAGGCGGCTGCCGTGGAGCACCAGAGTCAGCTCATTGTGAGAGGTGAGAGGGGAACACAGGAACAGATTTTGGAGTTGGTTTGGGATCGGGTCTAAATACCTACTGGAACCTAGTGGACTACCATCATTTGTTGTATGTGAGAAGTTTTTTTTATTTGAAGTAATCCCTGAAATACCAAACTTTACTTATCACTTCCTCCTGTCTGGCTGAAGGTACAATGGACTAATGCTGTGTGACTGGTATGAACATCTGCACACAAAGACTATAATACATACAACTAAAACATGTGTCAACAGTGTGGGGAAAGTCACTTTTGAAATCTAGGTTGCAGATTACTACACTAGTTACTCTGTTAAGAAATTGGGTGATTTCAATTATTTGAGGAAGTTACTTAAAATCATGTTAGTAGATATTTGTTTAACTTGGCAGGGCCTAAACATTTAAATTAATCCAGGAAGTGTAAAGGTTCTCAAAACTGATTAGTGTAAAACCTTTATTAAAATGATCTCCGTGTAACTTGATTTGAACAGAGAAAAAAGTATACAGGTCAAATAAGTTTGGAAAGTTGTTAACGTGTGTGTGTGTGTGTGTGTGTGTGTGTGTGTGTGTGTGTGTGTGTGAGCGTCTGTGTGTTTACTCAATCGTAGTGTTAAAAACAAGCTTTAGCTATCCAGCAGGAAGTGGTTCAGTTGGCCAGGCGGAAGGTTCGGTTTTGGCTCAGTTTCATTAGGCCTTCATCAATAAATCCATCAAAATACTTTTTGAATCCCAAATGATGAAGACTCAGGCTCATGTTGAAGACATGATGAAGACTTAGGCTCATGTTGAAGACATGATGAAGACTAGAATCAGGCTCATGTTGAAGACATGAGGAATACTCATATATCCTGGTGCAGCCATTTTTTCCTAAAGCCCATTAAACTACACTAAATATATTCCGTCTGACTCTTAGCTAACGCCTATGTCGAGAGGGGGG